AATCTCGTGAGGCTTATTCACTACCATGAGAACAGTTTGGGAGGAACCACCCCTGTGATTCAAATTATCTCCCACTGGGTCTCTCTCACAACACATGAGGAGAATGGGAATTATGGGAATATAATTCAAAATGATATTTGGGTGGGGACACAGAGCCAAACTATATCAGTAGATAAGGTAGTTGTTAATCCTATTTCCCAGAGGAAACTGAGACTTGGAAAGGCTAAAGGACTTTGTCAAGAAGGTAAGTAGCTGGATAGACTCTCAAATGCTGGCTCCCTGGCTCACTTGGCTAATACTCCTTCTACCATACCGTGCACATAAGACCATTAAATTGTATTGTGTACCACAGATATTCATGATTTAGGAATTCAGGGAGGAGAAAAGGATTATGAAGTGGAGTAGACAGCTAAGGCTTTACAGAGAAGGACCTTAAAGACTAAGGGAAGAATCTGAACTTTTTTATAAATACATAGAGAATTCTAAGTTATGGGGAAGCACAGGCATTATTTTAAGGAAGGAATAATTTTGTTGTTCCAGTTTGTTAATAGAAGCCATTAATTTGTCTCGCTGTCTCAAAGAGGCCTTGATGGGCTCATCTTTGCAAGATTCCAGTTCCTTTGTTAGATGTGTGTTTGCCATGCTTATAATGCCAGGTGGATACTTGACGGCCAGTTATTAAATTGGCTTCTAGCATTTGATTTTTTCCTGTTTTAAAGTTGATTGTCTATATATCTGTTTTGGTACCAGTATCATACTGTTTTGGTTACTGTAGCCTTGTAGTGTAGTTTGAAGTCAGGTAGTGTGATACCTCCAGCTTAGATTTTTTGCTTAGCATTGTCTTGGCTATACAGGCTCTTTATTTGGTTCCATATAAAATTTAAGTAGTTTTTTTTCTAATTCTGTGAAGAAAGTCAGTGGTAGCTTGATGGGAATAGCATTAAATCTATGAATTATTTTGGGCAACATGGTCATTTTCACGATATTGATTCTTCCTATCCATGAGCATGGAATTTTTTTTCCATTTGTTTGTGTCCTCTCTTATTTCCTTGAGCAGTGGTTTATAGTTCTCTTTGAAGAGGTCCTTCACACCCCTTTTAAGTTGTGTTCGTAGGTATTTTATTTTCTTTGTAGTGATTGTGAATGGGAGTTCACTCATGATTGGGCTTTCTGCCTGTCTATTATTGTTGTATAGCAATGCTCGTGGTTTTTGCACATTGATTTTGTATCTTGACATTTTGCTGAAGTTGCTTATCACCTTAAGGAGATTTGGGGCTGAGACTATGGGGTTTTCTAAATATGCAGTCACGTCATCTACAAACAGAGACAATTTGCTTTCCACTCTTCCTATTTGAATGCCCTCTATTTCTTTCTCTTGCCTAATTGCCCTAGCCAGAACTTCCAATACTGTGTTGAATAGGAGTGGTGATAGAGGGCAGTCTTGTCTTGTGCTGGTTTTCAAAGGGAATGCTTCCAGCATTTGCCCATTCAGTATGATATTGACTGTAGGTCTCTCATAAATAACAGGTACATGAGTGAAGCTGGAAGCCATCATCCTCAGCAAACTAACCTAGGAAAAGAAAACCAAACACTGCATGTTCTCACTCATAAGTGGGAGTTGTACACAGGGAGGGGAGCATCACACACAGGGGCCTATCAGGGGGTGGGGGAAAGCATTAGGACAAATACCTAATGCATGAAAGGCCCAAAACCTAGATGATGGGTTGATAGATACAGCAAACCACCATGGCACATGTATACCTAGATAACCTGCATGTTCAGCACATGTATCCAGAGCTTAAAGTAAAGTAAAATAAAATAAAATAAAATAAAGTAAAAGTTGATTATGTCTTGAGAGGATATTTTGTGATTCTTCCTCCCATCAGAGAGAACTGAAATAACACTTTGGCCTCTCTCTGGGGTGTGTGGTTCTCAGGGAGTTTTCTGTCCTGGCTGACTTCCTGTGCTGGGCAAGGGGGAAATGAAAAACCTAGGTGAAAATCCTGTGTTCATCTCCCTTGGGCCTGAATACTCCACTGAGCATATGTCTTTAGAGTTCTCACAATCACTTCAAGATGTTGAAGGTTCCTTTGGCTGTTTTCCTAACTCTGCTGAAGAGTGTTTGAGGGGAGGCCTTGGGTCTGAGGCCAAGGAGGTCCCCTTTTCTTCCTGACCTTCCGCCAGAACTCCCATTTGGCATGCATGTGTTCTCGACACTCTCTGGGCAGTACTTATGGCAATTGAAGTTTCTTTACCGTGGTTTTAAGTGGTCAGAGATGCACTTTGGTTTTACATTTCTCTGGAGAATGCCCATCTTACTCTCCTTGCCCATCCAAATTGTTTTACAGCCATTTTCATTCTCAATTGTGTTTTCAGCAGGTTTGTTTCCCATTAAGTCATCTACATGTTGCTAGGTCTAAGGAATGTTTTGGAAGATACTGAGCGGACATTGATTGAGCACTTTCTGAGCCCCAGGCATGTGAGATATATGGGTGTTTCACATTGCAGCTCTCCACAGTCAGCCACAGGTTCTTGGGATTGGCAGGTTGGCTAGCCAGACACTTAGTCACAGAAAGGTGTGACAAGGAAAGTGCACAGCACTATGGAAGCACACACAAACACCTAGTTTGTTTGCAAAGTCTGGAAAATCTTTAAAAGCTATTACGGCCATTTGGTTCTTATATGGGCTGGAAAACTGGGAGTGGACTCTTAAAGTAAGACTGGGACTCCCAGAGTAAGATGGGGTTCTTTCTAGCATAGATTTTGGCCAGCCTAAGCAACATAGTGAGACTCCCATCTCTACAAAACATTTTAAAAATTAGCTGGATACAGTGGCATGCACCTGTGGTCCCAGCTTCTTTGGAGACAGAGTTGGAAGAATCACTTGAGCCCAGGAGACAAAGGTTGCAGTGAGCTATGATTGCACCACAGCACTCCAGCCTGAGCAATAGATTAAGACCGTGTCTCCATCTGACAAGGATTTTGGGATTCAGTAGAGATGAGTCCTATAGGAAAAGGGGCAAGGAGTAGGACAGCCTTGATGAAGTCAATTTGAGAAATCCTGGTGAATAGTTCCTTTATTGTAGGATTTCCTAGAGATTTTAGCATCGTAATGCATACTGCTGTCCTCAGGAGAGATTACAGTATGTATTCCTAGGCTTATTTGGCTATAGATTTTGTTTTAAAGCTTGGAAGATTTTATCAGATTATTATTTCATGAAAACATATTCAGGGAAACAGCATTTCAAGCTCTCAAATTTCCAGATATTTGCAACAGTCATCATTTGAGAAAAAAATTAGCCCACTGGTAGATAGGCTTTTTTTCATAGTGAGAAGTAGTGGACAGTGGCTATTGGATATGATAGATAATTTGAGAAAGAAAACAGGATATGGGTACTTACAGACTCATTTGAAAATCACTGCTTTTGGAGCTAGGTTATGTTTCATGAACTTTCACTTATGATTTTTTAGTTAAATATCGACAACAACCCTGTGAAGGAAATACTTGATTATCATTATCTTCATTTTAGAGGTGACTAAGCTGAAGCTCACATAATGGATTATGTATGGGAGACGCTGAGAGTTGAACTGTGGTCTGTCTTCTGCCAAGGGCCACATTGCATTAGCTATTATTATGCTTTGTTAAGGAGTTAGGTCTTTTATTTTTAACTTTTCTTGTTTTTTATTTTGTATGATTGTTTTAAAAGTAATATATGCTTATTAAAGAAAAATAGGTAAGAGAAAAGTAGAAAATACCTGCAGAACTATCATCAAGTATAACTCCAGTTAATATGTGATATATTTCTTTCCAGTTGTTTTATGCAGTATTATGTAAGTTGAGCATCACTTATCCAAAATGCCTGGGCCTGGAAGTCTTTCAGATTTCAATCTTGGGGGCACCTTGGAATATTTACAGAATACACTCTGTTGAGCATGGATCCATAAGTCTGAAATGCTCCAATGAGCATTTTCTTTGAGTATCATGTTGGTGCTTAAAAAGTTTAGGATTTTGGAGCATTTTGGATTTTGAATTTTTGCATTAGGGATTCTCACCTATGTACAGTAGCTATAGTTATAGATATATTATAAATATTATATATTATTTATGTATGTTTCTATTTATGCATAAATTTATAAAATTTGAATCCTACTTTAGAATCTTCCTTACAGATATGCCTTTGGCTGTTTTCACATAAGTAGCCAGATATTTTAAGTAAATCCACTGAACTAGAACTCAGAAATTTGTAACACTTCTGTGCAGACTGCCACTTGGCCATGGGCAAGTTTCTTGACATTTCTAGAACTCCAATTCTTCATTTATAAATGAAGGAGTTACATCAGATCCTTAATTTTTAAACCATGGGGTTCCACAGAACCTGAGAGGGGCTGAGATTAAGAAAGATCAACAGCGCAGTCAGGACCTTGGCCCTTTACCTGTGCTTCAATCCAAGCAGCAGCATTTGTAGATCTTTTATACATTTGGGAACTGAGCACATTTGGAAAAGGGGATTCACTGATTTTATTTTATTTTTTTTTGAAAAAAAAAGAATATAGAAGTATTGAGACAGATGATCTTGAAACTCAGCAATTCTATGAGTTGCTATATAGTATGTACAATTTTAAACATTCTTCACGAGATAAACAAGTTTTATTCTTTTATGTTGTCTCAGGAAGCATGTAAGGACAAAGAGAATACCTGGTCTCTTGATCAGGTTGAAAAGTGTCCAAAGCACTCTTAAATTGCTTCTTAGGAAACAGATCATTGGAAATTCTATAGAACATGTCTCCTTTGACAACATCCATCTTCAGATCCAAGTTAATGCTGTGTCATAGAAAACCAATAACCAGGGAATCAATGGTACCTGAAACTAATACATGTTGGAAAACTATTGAGTTTACCAGTAACTAATTTTCCACTTTCCTTATGCATATAAGGCTTTGCATTTTGAGGGGGGTAATTTAGAAGTACAGTATCTTGATATTTTCTCTTGCTTTCACAGAAGGAAGAATCTTGCTCAAAAATGAGGTGAATTAATGCTCAGGCGCTCGGGAACCCTGGACAGCTACATGAGGTGTTTAAAAACTGCCCTGACCATCTTGCCAAACAAGTCTCTGCTCATGAAACCCCACAGGATGAACGAGCCGAGGCAGGACAGTGTCCTACCCTGTTGGAACAGTGACTGCTGACCTGCCAAGAGTGAGCTGGGGACTGACTGGTGTCTGCCAGTACAATGAAGGAAGTGGTTTATTGGTCACCCAAGAAGGTGGCAGACTGGCTGCTGGAGAATGCTATGCCAGAATACTGTGAGCCTCTGGAGCATTTCACAGGCCAGGACTTGATCAACCTAACCCAAGAGGATTTCAAAAAAGCCCCCTTGTGCCGAGTTTCCTCTGACAACGGGCAGCGGCTCTTGGACATGATAGAAACTCTGAAAATGGAGCACCATTTGGAAGCACACAAGAATGGCCATGCCAATGGGCACCTCAACATTGACGTAGACATCCCCACCCCTGATGGCAGCTTCAGCATCAAGATTAAACCCAATGGGATGCCAAATGGGTATAGGAAGGAGATGATAAAAATCCCCATGCCAGAACTGGAGCGCTCCCAGTACCCCATGGAGTGGGGCAAGACTTTTCTGGCCTTTCTTTATGCACTTTCCTGTTTTGTTCTCACCACAGTGATGATCTCGGTCGTCCATGAACGAGTACCTCCTAAGGAGGTTCAGCCTCCACTACCGGACACATTTTTTGACCATTTTAACCGGGTGCAGTGGGCCTTTTCTATTTGTGAAATTAATGGCATGATCCTTGTAGGACTCTGGTTAATTCAGTGGCTGCTCTTAAAATACAAGTAAGTCAAGTAAAAGATCTAAGATTCGATAATTATGGATTTGCACTCCAAACATCTAATTATTATTTAGAAATGAAATTTATCAACTTGTTGGAATCAAAACATACTAATTTTTATTTCTTTTTTAACCGCGTACCCTGTTGGGCTAACTTACTGTCTGGAAGCTTTAAAAGAAAATGCTGTTTGGTTGCCTGTTTTATACAAGATTCAAATAGAATGATGAATAAGACTGTTAGAAATGATGTTCTATTTTCACTTAATGAGAATGGAAACTCTCAAACATCTTCAGACAGACACTATAGGCTATTGAACAACAGATAAACCACCTAGTATTGGTTGGTGTTATTAACCCATTAAATAAATTAACAGTTGGCCTAAGCACTATAAATTGGCTGCATAGCTTTTCCCACACAAAGTTTGATATCTGGAACCTTAGCAATATGTGTTCAAAGATGTTTCATACAGAATTCAGAACAGCTGTTCCAGAGTGGCTTGGATTGTTGGGAAAACAATACCCTCAGGATATGACTTTGGGTAGGTGGGACATGGATGGACCTGAGTGGATTCCCACCTTCTACTACTCCTACTTAAAGCAATATGTGACTGTTCCATTCAAGTTTCTCAGGGTTTTAAGTAGGCAACTCCCACTTATTTTCAGGTGGATCCAAGCTGGCTTTTACATCGAAGCTCTAAACTCAGCATGGACCCCCTCAGACAGGCTGTTTTCTTGGGTTGCCTATATTGTCCCTTCACTGATGTTTGGTTTTCTCCTTAGTTAAGGGAACACCTTATGGTTTCCATGAATGAGGGTTGGAAATTGGTTTGTTAAAGAGCTGAGTTTCTCTCCAGTGGAATGTGTTTCATGACACACTGTGTGGTTAAATAATAAGGAATTCATTTTACAGCAAGAAAACAAAATGCACACTGAGAGTTCATGCTGAACTTTCTTTGGCAGAAATGATAAGGTTCTTTCCTAGTATGTTTTATAAGGACTCTTTTTTTACCTGATAAATTATATATCTGCAAATTGAAATAAAAGTAGTTCCTGCCATCTTCCCAGGGATGGACGGTGCTAACAGGTGTAAAGAAAGCCGTTTAACTGACCAGTGTTTATATGGGGATGGTTTAACAGTCCTAGAGTTTAAGCTGAATCTGAAATAGAATTGATGGTCTGGGCTGTATTTGACTTGGTGGAAGACCTTTCTTTTGTTGTTGTTGTTGCTTTAGTTTTAAGAGGCTAATAAATAGGAATAGGCTTTGGAAATACAAGATACTTGGAATTTACTAAATGCATTATTTTTGCTGCCAAATTTTTGTTCTGCTTTTGGCTTTTTGGCTTTTAAACTTTTTTCCTAAAACCCCATTGGAACAAAATGCCAGTACTGTACAAGGCAAGGTCAACTCAAATTATGCTTCCTGGGTTTTCCCTGATGTCATTGTTTTGTTTTTGTAAGTTTGCTCCTTTTCCAGTTTTTCATCAAAATTCTTACATTTGAGCAAACAGTTTACTGCCCCAGAATATAACTTTGAGAAATCCTAACAGGTACAAATCCAAATCTTTCACAGAACCATGACTTTTAGGTAGTTTTATTCTCATTCTTATGAAGTATCCTCTTAACCGTGAAACTATTTTCTTAACATATATTAATAATTACAATTTTCCCAACAGGGAATTTTCCTCAATTCTATTTCTCTTTAAACTTTATAATTTTGTGTTATCCTGGTACTTATTGCGAATACTGTAGTCATTTATATATTTAAATTGCTCAAAACAAGAAGCCAGTTGATTTGTGTCTTGGACAAAATTAACTCAGTGCTGAATGCAGACAGCCTGGGATCTGGCCTCAGGCGTGACCTAACTTGCTGAGTGGTTTGGGTGGGTCCTTACATCTTAGGAACCTAGTTTTTCTCACAAACAAAGTAATGGCCCCTCAGTCTAGATGATTTCTGTTTTCATATCCAACTATGTTTTATTTGATTCTAACATCATTGGATGGGCCAATTATATTTGAATTTTATTAGCTTCAGAGCATTTGTGTCCAGAATGCATCCAACTAAGTCCTCTCTTATTTCCACCTCTGGCGGGATAGGGACATGGGAAATGAAAGCAAACTGTCGTCATGATCATCCTAAGCATCACCACCCTGTTCGTCTACTGGGGCCCATCGCTGGTTTCCTGTCTCTTTCCTTCTGACCTCTTCAGTGTATTTGGCCCACCAGACAGGTAGGAGGTAGGAGGTAGGAAGAAAGATACAGATGACACATCAAGCAGTGAAGATGGATAAACTACCTTTCCCTGGCTCTCATAGAGAAGGTTAAAATCTTCTGTAGTATATCAGAGGGACCCTTTGTTTCTAGTTATTTGGTTATTGCAATATAGCAGTTTTATTTATCTGGCATTTTGGATCCTTCTGGTTATGGGATATTCTTAGCAGACAGTTAACCTCTCCTTCTTTTTGTATTTGACTCTTCTAAGGGTTGACCCCTATCCCCCAATCTCCACTAGGAGGTGTGCTGGTTAGGAGCCCGTCTTATACAAATTCTGCAAATTAAGCCTATTTGACCAGTAATTCCCAACAGGATATTTTTACTTCGATTTTAAGAGTCTTGTATCCTTTAAAAAAATAAGTCTATCCTTACTTCAGTATCTTCTACTATTTAGAAAAGAGTCATAGGATAAAACTATAGAGGATCACTTAATTAAGAAATGAGATCACGGAAATTTGTCCAAAAACCCCCAACAACAAACCCTTTAACTAAATGTTTGAGGTGCTGGAAAATCTTCATATTGAATTTGTGACATTATAACATTTGGTTCTATCCTTATGTTGTATACAATTGTCCTTTAATGTTAAACATGGGTTTTGGGGTTTTTTTTGTACTTAAATTTTTCCCTTCTTTCATTCTTAATGTCTCCCCTGCATATCTGTATGTATATATGTTTATATATACGTAAATCCACATGGTATTTCCTTGACCTCCCAAAATGGGAAGCAAAATAATGCCTGTCCTTGAGAACTTTTTTGGTTTTTAAAATTGTAAATAATGTTGTCTCCTCATTTAGAATTGGACTTTCAAGCCACTGACTAGGAAAAATTCCTGGGAAATCTCTGCATTTGTGTCAGACTTCACTGCAAAACAGGTATCCCTTGTTTTAAGAAAGCATGATAAAGAATATATTAAACTTACAGATTTGATGAAGGCTGAAGACGTTAAGGATTTTTCATGCATGGCTAAATCATGGCTAACACAGTGGCACCTATGTATGATACATGTGGCTCAGCTCTACTAGAACATGGTGAATACCTGAAGAAAAAGCCAAGGAGCAGGACTATAGAGTTTCCAAGTCACCAGAGAAATTATTATGACTTAGTGTGGTGGTTATAGGTTCCTCAAACTCAACTTGTATAAAACCAGATTTACTATATTTTTCGTCCAACTTATTCTTCCTCCATCTGTCCAGTGGCATTTCCTAGAAACCTAGAACTCCTCAGTTCCTTTTATCCAGATAGTCACTAAGTTCTTTCAGTTCTAATTTTAGATCCATCTCTTCTTTCCATTTCTACTTAGAGCTCCATCGTGGGTGCTCAGATGGAGAACCAGCTCCTTAGCCTGAACCTCAAGGGCCCTCAGTAGCTGGTCCCAGTCTGTCCTGCCTTATCTCTAGCTACTTCACTCCACAGTTTTCCTCTAACACTTTAAGTCCATGTTACATTCCATTCTATTAGTTGTGTATATGTCTCATTCATTGCTAATGTAAATTCCTCAAGGGGAAAAACTAGATCCTATTCATCATTCACCTTTCCCAGTACCTGGAGCATAGAAAGTCCTCACCTAAAATTCATCCATTCATTCAACTAGTATTTATTGAGCAGTATACCATATTCCAGAAACGGATAGACCCTAGGGATGCTGCAATGAGCAAAGGATCCTGATGCTTTCATGAAGCTTATATTCTGGTCAGTGTAAGGAGGGCAGTGAAAAATGAATATATGGTATCGGCTAGAGCGATGGAGAAATATAAAGCAGTACAAAGGGCTAGTGAGTGTTGGAGAGAGTGGGGAGAGACTGGTATTTTAGATTAAATGATCAGAAAAGTCCTCTAGTTAGGTGATGGTTGAGCAGGCATCTGAATCAAATGAGAGCGAATACCATGCATGTGTTTGGGGAAGAGTAGTTGAGGCAGGAGACACAAAAAGTGCAGAGTTCTGGCACTTACCTGAGGAACGGTCAATGGCCCATGTGGTTGAGTGAGCTGGGGGAGAACTCTGATGCAGGAGGCCAGTGAGGTGTTAGCCATGTGGGCCATGGATGGATAAGGAGTTCAGATTTTATTTCAAGTGTGCAGTAAGTCATTAGGGGAGAAGGATACAAAAAAACCTGATGTTTAAAAAGAATTAAACTGATATGTAAAAGAATGTGGCTGCATTACAGAGACTAGGGAAGCAAGAGTTGAAGCAGGGTGCCTGGTTGAGATGCCGTTGCAGTAGTCCAGGTGAAAGATGATCATGACTTAGACTCAGTTAACATTTTTCTAGTAAATACATTTTGTGGAAGGGTAATAAGAAGGACTGAAGTCTTTCTAGAAGCCATGACACTCAGAGTTTCTAATCTTTCATAATGACAGGGCTGACTTCTCTTGCAGTATCTTTCTCATTTGAGGTTTTTGGGCATCTCTTTGAATCCCTGATTTCTATATGAAATTTAGCGGGGAAATTTACTAATTTGGGGAAATCTCCAACTTTGCTTGAATATATTTTATTTCAGAGCAAACTCAAGTCGGGTGTATATCTTGATACATGTTTTCTATCATAGCTTCTTTTGGGTCAGACATTTGCCTAAAGGGAGTAGCATAAGACAGTTGTATAAGGAGGAATTAAATGTCACAGGGTATATTAGTCCATTGGTGGTAAAAAGATTTGAAGAAAGAAAATAAGTCATTGGGCAGTTGGGTTCTGGGTTGGGGTTGGGGGTAGAGAGAGCTTAGTGGTAAACATTCT